AAATCAAGTTATAGAACATTTCCATCTCCCTAGGACGTTTCTTCCTATTTTGGGACTTTGATCAACATATTACTATTATTATTCAGAGACAGGGTCTACCTCTGTTGCCCTGGCTGGAGTGCGGTGTTGCAATTGCACACAATTCACTGCAGTCTGGAACTCCTGGGCTCAAGCAATTCTCCTATCTCAGTTTCCTGAGTAGCTAGGATCACAGGCGTGTGCCTACATGCCCAGCTAATCTTTAAAATTGTTTTGTTGAGGCAGGCGCGGTGGCTCACGCCTGTAATCCCAGCACTTTGGGAGGCCGAGGCAGGTGGATCACAAGGTCAGGAGTTTGAGACCAACCTGGCCAACATGGTGAAACCCCGCCTCTACTAAAGATACAAAAAAGTAGCCAGGCCTGGTGGCACGCACCTGTAGTCCTAGCTACTTGGGAAGCCGGGGCAGGAGAATCACTTGAACTCGGGAAGCAGAGGTTGCAGTGAGCCAAGATCACGCCACTGCACTCCAACCGGGCAACAGGGCAACAGTCTGTCTCAAAAAATAAAAAAAATAGAAATTTGTTTTGTAGAAATGAGGTCTCACTGTGTTGCCCAGGCTGGTCTCAAACTTCTGGCCTGAAGCAATCCTCCTGCCTGGGCCTCCCAGATTGCTGGTATTACAGACATGAGCCATGGCGCTTGGCTCTCGAATAATGTATATTCGTTTTACTTATTGTTGAACACCCTGTAAATGGGATCATGGCAAATATGCTCATTTGTGTCTGGCTTGTTTTGCTCCTTGTTATGTTTTGTGGGATTCATACATATTGTTGCTATTATGAACACTTTTTGTAGATGTGTTTTGGTGGATGTAAACTCACCTTTCTTTTGCAGGCGAGTGGAATTGCTGTGTCACTATGTAATTGTATGTTTCACTTATACAAATTGTTAGTTTTCTTTTTTTTTGGAGATGGAGTCTCGCTCTGTCACCGGGGCTGGAGTGAAGTGTGTGATCTTGGCTCAGAGCAACCTGTGCCTCCTGGGTTCAGGCAACTGTTGTGCCTCAGATCCCCAAGAAGCTGGGACTACAGGCGTGCGCCACAAGGCCCAGCTAATTTGTTTTTTTTTTTTTTTTTTTGAGACAGAGTCTTACTCTGTCACCCAAGCTGGAGTACACTGGCACCACCTCAGCTCACTGCAACCTCCGCCTCCTGGGTTCAAGCAATTCTCCTGCCTTAGCCTCCTGAGTAGCGTGGATTACAGGCATGCACCACCATGCCTGGCTAATTTTTTGTATTTTTAGTAGAGATGGGGGTTTCCTCATGTTAGCCAGGCTGGTCTTGAACTCCTGAGCTCACGCAATCCATCTACCTTGGCCCACCTTTTTGTATTTTTTGTAGAGATGGGGTTTCACCATGTTGCTCAGGCTGGTCTCAATCTCCTGAGCTTAAGAGAGCCACCTGCTTCAGCCTCCCAAAGTGCTGGGATTACAGGCCTGAGCCACTGCACCCGGCCAAATTGTTAGTTTTCCAAAGTAGTTGAGCCAATTTATACATCTCCTAACAGAGCGTGCCTGTTCCCGTTAATCCACGTCTTTGTCTGCACTTGGAATTTTCAGTCTTTCTTTCCAGTCACTCTGGTGGGTGTATGATGGTATTTCACTGGGGTTTTATTTGCATTTCCCTGATGACTAATGATGTTGAGCACGTTTTCATGTGCTTGCTCAATAAATATTTGTTGAAAGGATGAATAAAGTGTGAATGAATAAAACATGGAAAGAAATCCAACTCTGTCTTGTGCCCTGCCTAAAACCCACCAGTGGCTCCCACTGCCCCGCTGTTGGCCGACAGGTACCTGCCTGCCCTGGCTCCTTCTGACCTCTCCTGCTCCAGATGGATTTCTTTTGCTTCCTTCTCAGGGTTCCTGCCACCCAGGCTGTTTTCAATTTCCTCCAAGGACCCTCTCTGCTTCATAACTTTGCTACAAACTCTCTTCTTCTGCCCAGAACACAACCCAGGCCCCAGGAACCCAGATTCATTCCTTGTATCTCAGTTTGAAAGCCTCTTCCTCCAGGAAGCCTTCTCTGACTTTCACCCTCAGCAGGGGTGGTGTAAATTGCTAACTTAGGCCCACTTTTGCCCACTTTTTTTGTTTTTGTTTCTGAGCCGGAGTCACACTTTGTCATCCAGGCTGGAGTGTAGTGGGGCCATCTCAGCTCACTGCAACCTCCACCTCCTGGGTTAAAGTGATTCTCCTGCCTCAGCCTCCTGAATAGCTGGGATTACAGGCACCCACCACAACACACAGCTAATTTTTGTATTTGTATTTTTATTATTTATTTATTTATTTTGAGACAGAGTCTTGCTTGGTCGCCCAGGCTGGAGTGCAGTGGCATGATCTTGGCTTACTGCAACCTCTGCCTCCAGGTTCAAGTGATTCTCCTGCCTCGGCCTCCCGAGTAGCTGAGATTGCAGTTGCCTGCCACCACACCCAGCTAATTTTTGCGTTTTTAGTAGAGATGTGGTTTTACCATATTGGTCAGACTGGTCTTGAACTCCTGACCTTAAGTGATCTGTCTGCCTTGGCCTCCCAAAGTGCTGGGATTACAGACGTGAACCACCATGCTTAGTCACCACTTTTTCTTTCTAGCAGTGCAATGGTGCGATCATAGCTCACTGCAGCCTTGAACTCCTGGGCCAAGTGAACCTCCTACGTCGGCCTCCCAAAGCACTGAGATTACATGCGTGAGTCACTGCTTCTGGCCTGTAAATACCCTTTCAAAAATATAGTATTTGATTAACATCTGCCATCTTACCATAAGAAACACTTAAAAAAAATCCCAATTCAAAAAAATCCCAATCTTTTACGCTGTATAAGAGTAGCAATTTCGGCCAGGCGCGGCGGCTCACGCCTGTAATCCCTGCACTTTGGGAGGCCGAGGCGGGCGGATCACGAGGTCAGGAGATGGAGACCATCCTGGCTGACACAGTGAAACCCCGTCTCTACAAAAAATACAAAAAAAATTAGCCGGGCATGGTGGCGGGCGCCTGTATTCCCAGCTACTCGGGAAGCACAGGCAGGAGAATGGCATGAACATGGGAGGTGGAGCTTGTAGTGAGCTGAGATGGCGCCACTGCACTCCAGCCTGGGCGACAGAGCAAGACTCCGTCTCAAAAAAAAAAAAAAAAAAAGAGTAGTAATTTTATATTGTTCCTAGCAAAACATCTGGCATATAGTAGTAAATGCTCAATAAATATTTGTTGACAGTATAAAGGTCAAGCAACAGCACAATTGGCATTATTACATGAAAGTAATTATCCCTTAGAAACTCATTCACCCTTGGGGGACCTGGGTCAATAAAAAAATCACAGAAAACAATCCTATCTACCTTCCTCCTTCCCTCGCTAGGTCCTTTGTGGTTGGGGGGCTGTCTCAAATGCACACACACTTTGTTTTATTTGGTGTAGCTGTTGTGTGCATGTTTTATGGAAACCACACATCAGGCAGGAGATTAAGGAGGAGAGGAGAAAAGAAAGGCATCGCTGATATCACAGTGAAATTTACACTCCGAGGCCTCGCCCTAACTCGTCTGTCTCTGCCTGTCTGCCTATGCAACAGTTCAAAAGCAATATGGCACAATAGATGGTATTATAGACTTCCGACCTCCCTGGCTAGACTTCTTGGGTTCAAAGTTTGGCTTAATGACTTACAATCTAAATAATCCCTGACAATTTACTGTCTTTCTGGGTCTTAGTCTCCTCATCTGCAAAATGGGGATAATACTACCTCTTACCTCATGGGGTTGTGAGGATTGCACAGTTAATTTGTGTAAATTGCTAAGAACATAGCCTTAGGAAGCCTTGTCACTGTGAATGCCTATTACTTATTATTATTATTTTTTGAGACAGAGTGTTGCTCTGTTGCCCTGGCTGGAGTGAAGTGGCGCCATCTCAGCTCATTTCAACCTCCACTTCCCAGGTTCAAGCGAGTCTCCTGCTTCAGTTTCTCAAGTAGCTGGGACTACAGGTGCCCGCCACCATGCCCGGCTAATTTTTGTATTTTTAGTAGAGACAGGGTTTTGCTATGTTGGCTAGGCTGGTCTTGAAGTCCTGATCTCATGTGATCGGCCCGCCTCGGCTTCTCAAAGTGCTGGGATTACAAGCATGAGCCACCATGCCTGGCCTATGATTATTTTGTCTCCAGGCTTCAGTTTCCTTACAGGCTCTGAGGTGAGGATCAATAACCTAGTTATTTCTAAGTGATGCTTAAAGAGGTTGAGAAGAAGCAAAGGCGCTCTGCACACAGGTGAGGTCAACAGCTGTTGGTGATGGAGACTGACGCCCTCTGGGTCATCAGTGCTCTGGAATCAGGCTGCTCATGGGTTTGAATCTCACTTCCACTTTCACTCCTTGCTAACTGTGTGACCTCAGGCAAGTCACTTCGCCTCTCTGAACCTCAGTTTCCCCATCTGTAAAAGGTAGGTGAATAAGAGTATCCACCTCCTTCTGTGTGAGTCAGCTTTGGACCGGGTTCAAATCCCAGCCCTGCAAATGATTAGCCAGGTGACCCTGGGCAGGGGGAATCATCACTCAACCTCTCTGCACCTGGGTTTCTTCCTGCATGAAAGTGGAGATAGTACAGAATGAAATGAGGGCGCAGCTAAGGCGCCCAGCACACTCCAGGCAGGTAGGGGGCTCCGTTCACGTTATTTTCCCCTGGTTACGGATACTGTCCTTAAACAGGATTTGAAAAGTGGTCGCAGGCTGTGTGGCCCCAAAGATCCTAGGCGCTTCCGGAAGACTAGCCAACGCTCCCCGAGCCAGTCCGCAAGCGAGTGGGCCTGGGCCTCGGAGGATCCGGGGTGGGGGTGGCGCGGCGTCCAGGCCCTGGGCGCCGAGAGGTTGCGGGTCCGGCTGCCCACGCCGAGACGCGCGAGGTGAGCCGGGCGCCGGGGCGGGGCGGGGCGGGGCGGGGTGGGGCGGGGCCGCTGCATCCCCGTGACGCGCGGGCCAACCAGGCGGCGTTGCGGCCCCGGACCCGGCTCCTTGCGCCGCCGCCGCCGCCTCCGCAGCCAAAGCCAGCAGCCGGGCCGGATCACCCACCGTCCGGTGCACGCCGCCGCCCGCGCCAGCAGCCGGGCCGCATCACCCGCCGCCCGGTGCCCGCCGCCGCCCTCGCCGCCCGCATGGCGCTCCGGGGCTTCTGCAGCGCAGATGGCTCCGACCCGCTCTGGGTACGTGCGGGGGGCCGCATGGGGCCGGCGGGACGGAGGGAGGGAGGGAGGCCGGCGGGGACGGAAAGCACCGGGCCCACAGCCGCCTGGGGCACCCCGCTCCCTGCTCTGCGTCCGGCCTTTGGGGCCCGGGACTCCCACGTCGCCAGCGGCCCAGCCCCTTTCGGGGGTGCAAGGCATGGAGGAAAACTTGGGTGACTCAGTTCCTGCGGAGCAGAGCGTGGGGGGCCGCGTGCCCAGTCCTGGCGTTTTGGAGGGGAGGGTCGGGCCAGAACCTCCGGGAGGAGGCCTTCCTGTTTTGGGGTTCCCGCCTCTAATTAAAAACAACCTTCCAGGGAAGGGACGCTAGAGATGGGGAGCGGGAAGGGGGTGTCTCTCTCCTTCTGTTTTCCCATCTTTTTTGTGGTTAGGGTCCCCCCTTTTCACGAAAAATAGTCTGTGACCAATGGGGTGAGCTGGGGAGGGGTTTAGATGGTAGAAAGGGACTTTCATTGTCTCCCCGAAGTTGTCGTACAAGCCACATTACTCTTGTGTGGTTACCTAGCTTTGTCTTTTTTGTTCTTTCTGCTTAAATAGTGCGGGGGAAGTTTGGGGGAACCAGGGAAGAAGGGGGGTGTTCACCCTTGACGTGCCCCACCTGACCCTCGGCTCGAGTCACATTTGGGGTGCAGCTGAGGACGCCCAGGACCCTGGTAGCTGTGGTGCTGCCCTCCCTTCCCTGCAACACGTGGAGCTCCTCTCTGGGGATTTAATCCTGGCAAATTTTCTTCGGTAACGTGGCCTGCGGAGCCTGACAGGGTTGGAGTCCACTTTCTGTGGTTTAAGCCTCAGTCTTTTGGGCTTCAGCTTCTCCGTAATGCGATTTGCCTTTTTGTTCCAGGAAGGCACTTCTGTTTCGTGCTGTCTTGATTATTGGTGAACGCAGTAGGCAAATCTGGACACGACTGTTTCTCTCCTGTTTTGTTTAGGAATTAGGAGAAACAGCCTTGGTTCTTAGGAGCTGGTGATTAGCATCCGAAAATACTTTCTTGTCCTGTTTTGGGGGCCTTTCCTTGAAGGCTGCATTTGGAATGTTGAAAAATCATCCTCCAGGGCCCCATTGGAGGGTTTGGTTTTGTTTATTTGTTTTTTTAGTAGGGTATCATTATGTTTAATAACCTACCACATTTTGATATGTCTCCCATTTTAAGCCAGTTGGGGTTGGAGAGTGACCCCAGGGGTGGAAATAGAACACGGACTTTGCCTTCAGGGTCTGGGAGTGATTGGAGCCTCTTTGCAAATGAACTTTTTTTTTTCATCAGGGAGAGGAAAACCTGTGGATCCCTTGTTACCAGGTGTAATAACAGCAAGATTATTTTTTGCAAAGATTCACATGGTGATCTGGGTTCGGGTTGCTGTGAATTCCGGAATATTCTCTTATTTTCTTCTGCATTGAGGAGGGGGCAAAACAGGGTGAACATCCATGACATTTTGTATCAGGACATACTTTATTGATGGCAACTGGTAGTTGATGGCTAATGAGTGTGTTTGGGGTGTGCTTTGTTTATCTTAAACTGATTCACGAAGTCCAGTTGTAATGTTTTAAAAAATTTTAATTTATTGTTTTCCTTCGTTAAGGACTTTTTTGCCACAGAAATTGTCAGGTGGCTGGGTTTCGCTTGGGTGTAATTGTAGCTGATTTCTGCCGCTGGTAGGTAGGTACCCCATCTGGTGTTTGACCTTGCATATTTCTGCTGTCTGGATTCCAAGACTTGCTGGAGGTGCCCTGGAACCAGAATTTGAGAGGAGGCAGCTGGGGCCTGAGTGGGAAAATTAAAATATAATTAACTGAAAGGTAGAAAGTAGGTAGTTGTTGCGTTTTTCTTTTTCCAGACATCATCTCACTCTGTCACCCAGGCTGGAGTGCAGTGGTGTGATCTCAGCTCACTGCAATCTCTGCCTCCCCCGCTCAAGTGATCCTCCTAACTCAGCCTCCCAAGTACCTGGGACTATAGGCATGTGCCACTACACCCAGCTAATTTTGTAATTTTTGTAGAGACAGGGTCGAACTATATTGCCCAGGCTGGTCTCATACTCCTGGGCTCAAGCAATCCTCCTGCCTCAGCCTCCAAAAGTGTTGAGATTATAGGCATGAGCCACTGTGCCTGGCTGTTTTTGTGTTTTTCAAGGCAGTGTGTTCAAGGCCAGGAGCGACTGGCCCCCCAGGCAGTCAGATAACTGTGTGACCTTGAGCAAGCCACTTTCCCTCTGTGTGCCTCACTTTCTTCATCTATAAAATGGGACAGGAGCCAAAAATGTGGCAGCCTTCTAGGGTGGTTGTGAAGAGTCAATGAGTTAATCTTGTAAGTGGCTCAGCTTGTGCCCTGCACAGAGATAAGCAATGGCTAGTGTTAAATATTATTTTTTCCAGGCCGGGCGCGGTGGCTCAAGCCTGTAATCCCAGCACTTTGGGAGGCCGAGACGGGCGGATCACGAGGTCGGGAGATCGAGACCATCCTGGCTAACACGGTGAAACCCCGTCTCTACTAAAAAAATACAAAAAACTAGCCGGGCGCGGTGGCGGGCGCCTGTATTCCCAGCTACTCGGGAGGCTGAGGCAGGAGAATGGCGTGAACCCGGGAGGCGGAGCTTGCAGTGAGCTGAGATCCGGCCACTGCACTCCAGCGTGGGCGGCAGAGCGAGACTCCGTCTCAAAAAAAAAAAAAAAAAAAAATTATTTTTTCCAAAGATGAAGTTGTGTGTTTCAAGCTCCTTGTTCTTCCTTGGGATTCCCCATTTCTTCAGCTGGTGGAGATGGGATTGGGCTATGGAAAGGCAGTGAGGCACTCGTGCCTGACTCCTGTTGTGACCAAGGTCATGTGCTTAGAAGTCAAGGTTAGTGGGGCTCGTGTGACTCTGTCAGCGCTTTGTTCCTGGGCCGCTGTCTGCCTCTGAGCCACAGGAAATGTCCAGAAAACCCAGAAGATGGAAATGGCCCATGATAAGGGTTCTGTTGACCATTACTCAGACAGATGTTCTGGGAAGAAAAAAGGAGAACTTCGCTATCAAAATGGAAAATAGGGCCTGAGGACAGGGCACAGCGGCACTTGACTTTCTTTTCTCACGGGAGTGGGTCTCTGGAGATGGGGGTGGGACTGGTAGGAGGGGCTGCTTTGTGGTTGAGGTTGGAATGATGGTTGGAAATATGGGCCTGGGCTTTTTCGTGAGTTCATTTAAAAAAAAAAAAAAAGGCTGGGCGCAGTGGCTCACGCCTGTAATCCCAGCACTTTGGGAGGCTGAAGCGGGAGGATCGCTTGAGGTCAGGAGCTCAAGACCAGCCTGGGCGACATGGATTGACCCTGTCTCTACTAATAATACTAAATTAAAAAAAAAAAAAGCCAGGCATGGTGGTGTGGCACCTGTGGTCGCAGCTACCAGGGAGGCTGAGGCAGGAGAATCAGTTGAAGGCTGTGGGGGTGGAGGTTGCAATGAGCTAAGATCACGGTCACTGCACTCCAGTCTGGGCCACAGACTGAGACCCTGTCTCAAAAAAAAGAGCCAGGTGTAGTGGCTCATGCCTGTAATCCTAGCACTTTGGGAGGCCAAGGCAGGCAGATCAGAGGAGGTCAGGGGTTTGAGACCAGCCTGACCAACATGGCGAGACCCCATCTCTACTAAAAATTAGCTGGGCATAGTGACTCATGCCTGTAATTCCAGCTATTTGGGAGGCTGAGGCAGGAGAATTGCTTGAACCTGGGGAGAGATTGCAGCGAGCTGAGGTCGCACCACTGTACGCCAGCCTGGATGACAGAGAAACTGTCTCAAAAGAAAAAAAAATTGTGTTTCAGGCCCCGTGTAGAAAAATTGGAAATTATGGAAAAGCAGAGAAAATAACTTGGTATTAAGCAGTATCGTGTGGTGGCTCAGAGCAAATTCGGCTCTGCTGCTGAGGCAGTTTACTTCTCTCTGTGCCTCAGTTTCCCTATGTGGGATAACATAGTAGGTAGTGAATAGCGGTGACTTGAGGAATAAGTGAGTGAATCCTTAGCGAGGACTTAAAATGTTGCTGCTTGGCAACAGTGCTCAGTAAAGATCAGTGGTCGTCACCACTTGGAATTCTCCAGTTAATTTTTGCTGTTGCACCGACTGCCACTGGAGAAGACCAGAAGGAAGCTGAAGGTGTGTGTCACCCTCGATGGAGTGAGCTGGTCCCAGGGTTGATGTGCACGTCTGAGATACTCTGTGGCATCCACCAACTCAGTAACCCCCTGAATATCTGACTTAGCCGCCAAGAAGAGTATCTTAGAAGCTATTAGAAATTCCTCTTGGGGCTAGGTCTGGCCTTGGAGTCAGTCTGATCCCTGCTTTAATTCCTCCCCTTGGCTCAACAACAGTCTATGAAGAGCCCATTTTTTCCCCTCCCCCAAATGTGGCTTTGGTTTTCAAATCCATCCCTTAGCCTTCTCCCACTTCCTCTGTTTTCCCCTCCCCACCGCCCCCCACCTTTTTTTTTGAGATGGTGTCTTGCTCTGTCATCCAGGCTAGAGTGCAGTGGTGTGATCTCGGTTCACCACAACCTTTGCCTCCTGCGTTCACGTGATTCCCCTGCCTCAGGTTCCCGAGTAGCTGGGATTACAGGTGCCCACCACCACGCCTGGCTAATTTTTGTATTTTTAGTAGAGACAAGGTTTTGCCATGTTGGCCAGGCTGGTCTCGAACTCCTGACCTCAAGTGGTCCAGCTGCCTCAGCCTCCCAAAGTGTTGGGATTACAGGCATGAGCCACCGTGCTTAGCTTGTTTTCCCCCTTTTTGACTGCTCCTCCTTCCAGACCCTTCCTTATGGATTGTTAGAGTGGAAAGGGATGTCAGATCTCAGGGGGCCATCCCCTCCACCCACCCCGTTTCATGGATGTGGACGCTGAGGTCCAGGATGGTGATATGACAGAGTGCAAGGTGGCAAGGTGAATGGCTTTGGGAGGAGATGAGGGTGACCCAGGAGAGGCCTGGGCAGGAGTGAACTC